CCCTTAATTCAGTCGCCCCACCTCCGACACAGGGTTCGCCTTTTCGCAGCATGTCGCCAGACGCGCGGACCCTCATCGCCCCCCTCACTCGCACGAATATTTATCGTGGATTATCCTCACCCCTACCACTCGATTTTAGCGCATGTATGACTCACGCATTCGAGGTATAAATACACACGCGTAAACCCAACACACGACACGACGACACCAACGTGGTTGAGGTCGGAAGTAGACGGTTGTGTCCACGTCCTCTCCGATCTTTTTCTTCATCGAGGGTATCAGGGAAATGTAATCGGACCAGGGTTAATTCCGTGGCCCCGGCGTGGTTCAAGACCACATGCTCGGGTCCCACAACAACCACAATACCCATTCCTGCGGCCTCAACAAAATTCATGCAGACAAGTAATCGTGAATACACCAGATTACATAAATTGACCGAGCCAGATTTTATAAATTCGTGCTGCTAACCCCGATGGATCATCAAGCCCTAATTTTTGCATCAATCACCTCAAGAGTATTCGTTTTCTTTGAAGTCGTAGAATGTCGTCAGAATTTTTAAAAATGCGTTTAAGCATTAAATTCGCGCAATCCTTCAAACAATCAACCTTTCTTTTAAGCAACTTAAATCGATCAGGCGGAATGTCATAAAAAAATTCTGGCTATTTGTTCAAAAGGCCGGACTTTGTGTCTGTTCATTTTATTAATAAACTATTGAAGTGAGCAAATGCTTAGTCAATAGGTGCTAACGAACCTTGAAAGACAGCTAGTAGGCAGCAGCTTTAGTCTGGACTCGTTTTTAGTGACGAAAGAGCACACTATGGGCAAATTAGTGTTGTGTGAAATTTTAAACTTCACGAAAATTAAGCTAATGCAAATTCTGAACTCCGAGGGTGCAAAGATGCCCAAGACATTCACCAGAGTCTCATAAAACGAATTGTAAGAGCACTTAGGTTTGAGTGGCGCCATTAAACATTCTTGTCATTTTCCCACGCAAATTTTGGCATTATTGTAATTTCCTAATACATCAGTTTTTTATTTGTGCGTGGTTTCTCTTACTGTCATCTGACTTGGTTGACTCGTCGTAACTGCAACAAAATCTGATGCTTTTTAAAAAAAAGCTTAGCAGAATCATAATTTGAGCCAATGACCTTGGTTCTGGTTGGATTATCCCCTCCAGTTTAAATGAACTGGTCATTCTTGGCAGGATTAATTCGCATTATTGTCTGCATGTTTGTTTTATCGCATGCCGTGATTTTAAAAAATGAGCACATGCGAAATACGGCACAAAAGAGCTACACAGAGAGCAGCGTTTTAATTAGTTAAATGCCACCAAGATATTGATTGAAATCGATCTGGCACAATATTTAAGCACGCACGCGGGCTTTGCAATTGGAGCTCAATGATCGAATTTCGCGGTTGGAAATGCATTTAAACATCTCCCAATGCCTGTTGTTTTTCCACATTAACGGAGGTTTCTAGGCCGAAAAATGGTTACCTTTACAATGGTGTTATTTTGCTATCAGAATCACAGCAGCGTAACCTATCAATTCGATTTTGCCTTGGGGTCTTTTTCAGCTGCATTTGACTAGTTAATCGGATGGCAGAACTGCAAACAAAAATAACTAAATTTTAACTCTAATGTTTGACTTGCTAATGAGACAGGTTTTTCTGCATTCTGCATGACTCAATATTGTAAATTAAAAAAAAAACAAACGACAAGGTCGTGCCAGAGTAGAGCTCTCATGCGCTCACTCTCTCTAGCACCGTCTTCTTAGTCTCTGCACAACTTAGAAATGCAGATTTTGCTGTCTGACAACAATTTTGCAGTCACGTGATACAAACGCTGTAGTGATATTTCGATTTTACGCTGAAAAGCTAACAACCCCTTTGTGGACATTCGCTTGGTGTCTGGTAACTCGTTAGATGCCTGGAATTTCAGGTGTAAAATGCGAAAAGAAAACGTGTTACTTTTTAGTAGATGTCAAGGTGCCTGTAACTCGGGCAACAAAAGCAGACAGAAGTTTAAAATAACACACAACCGCATGGGCAAGTTAAATGGGTTCAAAAAGTTTCAACTTCTTGCGATCGAACTATAGTCGATCAGGCTAGGTGCAACGTGATTGGTTCACGGTCTTAAATGGGAGAGATTTTGGCACTTTAACCCGACACGAAACAATGATCTCCTTTGTTACGATAGGGGTCACTTTTTAAACGCGTTTCTTCCAGTTCGTGGCAATTGCAATCAATAAAATCAATAAATGCCTTTTTTGACTGTCGATTTTATATTTGAACAGCAGTACACTTTTATTGGACAAATCAATAACCAATCGGGAGTCAAAGTTACATTGATTTGGTGTTATCATCATTAGAAACATCAGAGCCACTAATAGTAGTTTTTAACAGACTAAACGATGCATAAAATTTTAGTTTGTGTGGTTAGATATAACCGGGAATGGTCTGATATAAGGTTATGTCTTTTCCATTTGAAAATATCGGAATTTGTTTAATTAGGCTCAATGTAGTAAGAGTGTTGTTCAACTTATAACGCAATTTTTTGCCATAAATTACTTGGTTTGCTTGTGAACGATTAGCCGCATTCATTTAAGAAAAGTTCGTGTCACGTGATAAATGGCAATTGTGGCGTTTCGCCATGGGTCAAACAGTCAAGCACGTGAAGTGCTGTGGGAATTTTCCTCTTGATTACACCCATAAATGGCGATTCGGATAGCGCCTATCCCATTTCAGTGACCGTAGTTGCCAATTATGCGTAACGAGTTTTGCAAAACTGAACGGAATTTAATTCATTGGTTGGTTGTTAGTCGATTGCAACCATCAACCAATCACATTTGTCTCGTGTCGGAAGCAAATATCGATAATAGTTAAGAAAGGTTGACCAATTTGCGCCTCATATATTTGCCTGTTTACTGCTCTCGTTAACTAGACATCCTACTTTTGATGCGGAATTTGGTTATTTCGTTTGGTGGTTGGTCAACGCTCCAACAATGGCCGAATAGAACTCTCACGCTCATTGGCTGTTCAACACGAATCAATCTGCGCGGGCAATGAAGAGATGCGTTCAAAGTCACACTGCCCCGAATGACTAATGCGTGGGCGGCGGGCAAAATGCACAAAGCTTCAAGCAAGTGGAGGTGAGCGGTTTGTGCGTGGGCGTGTTTGTCTCGAAAATCGGCAGAAATGAACAATTACATACCTATTTTTTGGTGCCTAAGCAAATTTCACATAATGGCGATTCAGGGCAAGTGCCGAGGGGGGGGGAGTGGCAACGCTCATAACCAATTTGTTTAAAAAGGGTCTGGTTGACTATTTTCACGAGATATCATCCTCTGTTTGTCAATCACTGTCTAATCCAGAACCTAGTCGTGAAATTCACAGACAAACGTATTGAAAATGCATTGTCTTCTATGGAGAAATTCTGAATACCAGAGAAAGCGGTAGATTTGGAGGGTATTTACATTAATTGCATTTCGCTGAGGTTTCGCTGCGGTGGCATTAATAAATGAAGAGAATGCAGTCCTGAATGCTGGAAGATGTGTATTCTCATCGGCTCCTTGGTAAATGCAACGACCTGTCAACTAAATTAGCCTCTTTCCCGGTATTCCGTGCTGGATTTCCCACGTTTACGCAGCTACCCTTCGACTACCCTTGGTAGAATGATCACTTTTTTACTTCTGCTTTCTTTTCACATTCCTTGTGTGAAGTGGCGCTAACCAGACAAACGAAATTTGCATTTTACGGCGTTCTTAGCCCAATCTCTGGCGTCATGGAATCACTTGTTTGGTAAACATGCTGCTCAGATGCATTGCTTTCCTGTGCGCATTAATTTTACCAACTTATTTAAGGTGGAAATTCGCATCAGTCATGCCCGTTTTGCGATGAAAAATTGACGTGAACAAGGTTTGGGTTTGAAGTCACCTAGTTCGATTTCTCCAACTAAATAAGCGACGAATTCCGATTCCGTTGAAAAGTGCGATTTCTTTGCATTGCACAGTTTTACTGCCGTCTAATTGTGTTTAAACATCTTTGCAAAAATCTGAAATCGTGTTGGTTATTTGAAGGTAATGAACAATTATGGACACAACGCGCATCAATAGGGTAATGTTGCTATACCAGGGTCGGTATAGTAGTGGTTTCGAGTCCAACAGCGTCACAGGTCTATTATGCTAGCAACGATGAGATTTCGCAGGAATCGTGTGACTAGATTTTAAATTTCAGGAATGAATATAAACGGAGCAACTTTGTGCACAAGTAGATAAATCCAAAAAGACTCCATTTTTCAGAAATGTCTCATTAGCCGAAAAGGTGCTTTTTCGTCACCTCAAACTCAAGAATAATTAATTATTTACATCATGATATCACCTAATTTCCTCCAAGAGTCTCAAAAGTTATTGAGTACATTTCACCAAATACCACCACCACCACCCACATGTTGCGAATCGTGTTTATTCACATCACTTAATCCGGTCGCTCCACCTCCGACACAGGGTTCCCCTTTTTGCAGAATGTCGCCAGCCGCGCGGATCCTCAACTAACCCCTTATTCAAACGGATGTTTATCTCTGAATATTCTCATCGTTGCCTTTTAAGGCGAAACGCCAAAACTACACCCATTTCTTCAAGTGCTGATTGGTCAGGCGCCAATGTTTGAATGGGGCGCCTAACTTTACTTGTTTCTATAAAGTTATGAAAGCGTGGTTTGCGAAGAAAATGCCAGCTTTAGGACTCTAAGTGGTTCGCGAATCGAGAATGTCAGGGTTCTTGGGTGAAAGTTAGTTTTGGCCAGCGTGCTGGCTCATGCGATGTGCAACATAAGCAGCAACCGTAAAACGATTAACGCGGCTTTGAATCGTTGTTAATTAGTTTGCGAATTCGCCTCTAAGGATTTTTTTAAATGAGTTACCATTGATGCTCATCAGATAACTAGTGTTGCACGAACTTGGTGAACAGGTGGAATCGGACTAAAATGTGATTGTCACCACAGAAATGATGCCTCTGATTTGGAGGCATTACCAAACAGACCAAGCGTTCATTGGTCACAGGCAAAGGAGCTTGATTTGTAAAGCCGTCAAACAAAATAGGGCACAGTCGGTTAAATTGCAAAGGCGTCGTGAGTCATCGGGCCAGTGCGAGGTCAACAGAATATTTCAGGAGTTATTGAGTACACTTCACCAAATAGCGCCACCGTCGACAATAGCAAAACACCTAAAATGTTTGAAACACAAGTGGAATTACTGTGAGGTCCCCTCGTGTCCCCGTGCCGTCTCCGGTGGACCAGCCTTCCCCTACGTGTTCCTGACTCTCTGCCTGATCGCTCTTTCTCTCAGCATCGTCATTTACGTCTACCGAAAGGGGTGTGGCGGCAGGAGGTCGCCTTTCCTCAATCGACTGTCGACGATCGCCATGGCGTGGAGGAAGAGAACGTCCAGTGAACCCTCTCTTCTTGCAGACAACGTCACCCTCAACAGTGATCTGGTTTCAGGCGATGCAACACAACAGACTGTGTGACTCCAGATCACACCTTTTAATCTATTATTTAAGAGTAAAGAAATGGGATTCGCATTGTAACCTACACCGATGAGACTGTTTTGGGAAAGGAAAAATTTTGCCTTACCACTGTGCTCAAAATCTTCCAAAAATTTACAATTACTGAAGGTTTTTGAGTCGGAAAATCGACTGTATGGGAGAATAAGAAACCTGTTTACAAATTCTTCTTCCTCGTCAGCCACGCGAACGGATTTTCGTTTTTTGTATGCATTTTTCTTAAATTTCCAACAATACTTAGGCCTTCATTTCTTAGCTTCGAAATGGTTCACGCGGTTGGAACACAAGCTGAGATAATTCCACGTAAAATTTGCAAAAAAACCAGTGCTCCAACATTGACGTTTGCACGGATGTAAGGAATTTTGCTCCCAAATTTAATTTTGTCAGCCCAAGGAAATTGTTTATTTTAATAAGAATGCTCGCATTTTGGGTGGGCCTTTGATGATTTCGTACCAAACACTGTGATGACGTCTTTAGTTCAAGTTATGTCGCGTAGAAATTAAAAAAAAACGGAAGACGTAAAATGTTTTTTTTGCATTTAACTAGCGTTTTCTGCAATGCTATTACACCACCAAAACGTTTTGGGTAAAATTTAGAAGGAGAGAACAACTAACCACTTAAACCATTGCATGGTTTTGCCATATGTTTTTATAAATTTAGCACCAAGACTATTTGAACTATTTCGTGAATTTTGTTCGTTTGCTGACAAAAGGCCATTCTAACTGCAATTTTTTTGTCCGAATCGAGGTTTGTCACGCCGAACCAACACTAGTGAAGTTTTCCCACACTAAAAGAAAACGCCAACAGCGTCTTTTCGGTTCTTGTGCAGCGGCCACAGCTTGTTGCATTCACAAATACTGCCGTTTGTGTACACAGAGGTAAGCATTAAAAAAGCACCAAGAGAGGAAGTAAATACAGAGATTTGAAATTAAAAAATCCAACGTCATCTTGGTGGCTCCTTAGAGGACGACGCCGCCGCTTCTTCACGGTCCTCGTCTACTTCTGCGATTTCCGCAAAGGTGATTGGTTGGGTGCGGAAGCGCGAGAGTCGGGCGCGGTTTCGTTTTGCGCGAATTCGACGCTCGACACAGTTGTCGCCGCCAGGAAGCTGTTTGTGAAGTTTCCGCATGTTGACGATGCCCTCTTGGCTGAGGGTTATGCGTGGAAACGTCTCCAGTTCACCAGGTGATGGGGCAGGTTGTGTGGGGTTCAATAGCTCGATGTGTAGCGGTGGACAGTCGTTGCAACTCATTTCAAATATTCGATCGCTGGTCTAAATTCGAGAGAAGGAAAAAAGTCTTGGCATTAAGTATGTCCTAGTGACCACTGTCTCTACTGGAAATGAAATCGATTCCATGTAGATGCGGAATCGGCTTTGTACTTCCGCATTTTATCCATCCTTAATTGGACGAAATGGGACCTGAGTGCTGAAAATAGTGCTAACCTCTACTCACGCGAGCTTCCTATTGGCTGATTCCACCCATGACAAGTTAACTGGTGGTAAACTTAAATCACAACCTCGTTACATGAATTGTCCTGCCGCATTGTTTGCTAACAGACCTCATTTGGGTGTTTCAGCCATTAAAAACTGACTAGCGAACTTGTATACACTTTCGCCAGTACCACATGACTTAGGTCACTTCCTGTTGCAAATGTTTAAACAAATCGCGAGTTTTATAAGCTTAACTTTAAGTCTCTTTGTCTGAATCAATGAATAAGAATAAGCAACTTGCACACCCTATTTTAATGGGCAAATGGAATTTAAAATTAAGGCATGATTTGTTACAATTCTGGGAAAATTGGACATTTCGAGAAAACAAGAGCCATCCGTCTACCGGTTCTTAACAGTTTTACTGAATTGTGAAGTGAATTGAGTGCTGAAAATAGTCTAAGCCAGCCCCCCCTCTCAAGGTCATCTCAAAGTCATATCTAAATCCCCAAAAAGCGTTCGTTGTGTTTAAATATCATTAGCCAACCGTGCAGGGCAAATTTTAAGCAGTAAATTAATGCAAATCAGGTTAAAATTCTAGACAACTTATTTTGTAAAGTTGGTTTTGAATTCAACAAGTGCGTCTTGCCAGTTTTCTACAAAACACGCCTTGATGTTTAGGAATTGAATCCGGAAATTTTGACTGTCGTAACATTGCATCCGATAACAACTTCAACTCAACATTTGCAAAATAACCAAGACATTTTAACAAATCCCTGGCTTATGTCACTTGCTCAGTTAGTAACAAAAACTCAGCAGCATTAAATGGTACTCCATCGATTCCATGATTTTTTGTGGAAGTTACTCTGATTTTCCTGGGATAATGACTGCAGTTGCTCTAATGTAGCATTGGCCATTGATGAATCACACAACGACTACACATCACATCTGCTAAGCAAATTGTCTCCTTCATAGATCCGATCTTTCGGTTTTACTAGAAGTCATTTATCGATTGAATATTGGATCACTTCCATTTCATCAGCAACTTAGCACCAAGACAGGGAGGAAGGCTAATTTGTGAATACATTGAAATAAAATGCTAGATCTCACTAAGGCCGATTTGTCAATGATATTTTTACAGCAATTTCATTTGTTCTGCTTAGTTTTCTGGCTTTTGTGATTGAAAGGCATGTAAAAAAACTTGCAGTTACCTACAAACTTTTATTAAGAAGTAGGCATTATCGCATTTCAGCAGCAGAAAAGCAAAAAAATCCGTCACCAGTGCTTACCGCTTTGTAAAAGAATCCGTTTTCTTGACTGGAGGCAAACGTAAACCGACTTGGTCTGCACAATGCACTGCATAAGGCAGGTTATTTTGGTGCTTTGTTCAACCAATCAGACGGCGGCAACATCATACGGGCAGCAGGGCTCAACGTCATTGGCTCCTGATGGCTGTCTGAAGTCTGATTGGACAGAAAGGCAGTTTGTACTATTCCCGTGTCGTTTCCGATTTCTCGACATCTTTAGCACGTCAACAAAGAATGCGTTAGTGATATTTAAGTGGTACATTATTTGTATCAGAGAGATGATGGAAGAGGGAAAAGTGTTTCTATACCTTGTAGTTAAAAAATATATTTCCTCGTTCGATTTTTGGAGAAGAAGGAATGAATTTATTATTCCCTTGAAAATATCGATTAGCTCTATGTGAGCTAAAAAGAGAAGCCATCAAAAGCGAATCCGGACGTTGGGATGCGGGGCTTTAGTGGATCACCATGAACGTACAACCGCATATTTTAGTGAGACAAGATGTCATCATGCCACAAATTTTTGGTGCTGCATCTAATGAAGTGGATTTCTCGATTCGCTGCCATAAACAGGTTCTGATTGAGACGAATTCCGATCCGTGTGCACTGAATCAAATTCCAGAAATTGTAAATGACATCTAATCAAATGTTTACACCAATTATTTTAAACGGATAACCTTAGGAACAACCAAATGCTGCTGTAATAAAAAAAATGACATTATGAATTAGCATTGCAGCCTATTTTGCAACATGTGTTTGCAGAGGCAGGCATTTTCTTCACAAAATTTTTTTTACTGAAGTATCAATGAAAATCTAACTCGAATTACTTTATTTAGCGTGTCAAGGTGTATTCAGAGGATTTAAAGTTGTTTGCTGACTAGTATTGCAAATTGAAAGGTAATTTGATGCTGTGGTAACATTAGTCAGTAATGTTTTTCGTTAATTTTAAATAATTGGAACAATCTGCAATAGGTTGGCCTTGTTTCTCTCACAAATGGCTTTTACACGCTCCCCAAATAATGTGAATTAAGGTGACATTCCATACTGTGGTAGGGGTAATCAATAATACGCCTATTTAATGGTTCGAATTGAACCTATCTATTTAGACATACATTAATAAATACACTTGTTTTAATTTGCCATTGATTAAGGTGCCAGGCTATGGCAAAATCAATGATTTGTCGAATGCCAATAGCGCAGCAGTTAGCAGTCATGTTTAGCAGTTATTTGCTCTAAACTAGATCGATTTCTGATTTCAGGATTGGAAGGGTCTCAGATATGTGCTTGTTCGGACGTTCTGCCACTGACATTTACGTTTTGCAGGTAGGTACTTTTAATGACACACAACAAATAAGCGTTCTGATTCTCACAAATCCATGGGAATTTGTGCCACACGCAGCTAACCTGGAGTCACAAGCGAAAGCAATAGAATTTCAGATGCGTTTATTCGAAAAAAAAGGTGAATCGCTTGTGCACATTTTCTTCTGATTTTTGCGTGTTTTTGAGAAAAAAATCAATAAGCCACTAAATTTACAAAACACAGATATGATATTTAGGTCATTCATGTCCAGATAATAATGGTATCATTTAATGCATTAGTTCTAGTTTTCGTTATTCTATTTATTGATTACCTGCGTTTCTACCCTGTCACAACTCTCCCGCATTCGCGGTGTGCAAAACGCCACTTTCGTTGCACCAACATTGGCACAGGGGTGACCTTTACGCGCTTGTTTTACCGTGCTGCCATTGATCAGGTTTTATCATCATCATTATTCACGACACTATGACCATTACCTGACTAACAGTTTCATCCACTTAGATGACAATTCTTTTCATAAACGGGAGCACAGTTCAGTCCCGCCACTTTGTAGAAATTAGTTACAGTTTTTGAACAAAGGTCAACAGGCCAGTCGCAGTAGTGATAAAACAAAATGTCTAACAGCAGACACAGGCCTTACCATGCCAGAATCAATCAGATGGCATCTTTTTAATTGGTTGCGATCTCCAAAACCATTGTTAAAAATGACCAGATAATTGTTGAATGACTGATCTTGAGCTTGACGGCCTGAATAAGGTATTAAAACAGTCTTGTTTCATTTAATTAAAAAGATTTAGATGAAAGGATGGTTGAGAAATGTCAGATACTAAGAATTGATACACTTTGGTGTAGCAAAATGTCGGTTGGGCGTGGTTTCCTGAATAGTGCGGGACTTGGGAAAGACAAGTTTCTGGTAAAATTCTTGTGCATAGAGCAGTTGGCATACGACCAGTTCGTGCGATAAGACCGAAGCATCGCAGCTGCGTCAGAATGCGTGTTTAAACATCGGGGATACTATACAGATATAATGGCATTTAAGAATGGTTCGATACAATATTTTTGCTTGTTTGATGGTTTTTAAAAGAAGCCAAAAAATACCTTTAAAAGTTTTGGGTGATTTCGACTGTAGTTCGGCTTCACCGCAATGTCAAGAGTATATTGTTATTCATAAGTTGTAGTGCATTAGTTTAAAATTAGCCGATTAATGTGTTGTGAATCGCGTTCATTCACACTCGCTGATCCGATCACTCCAGCCTCCGAAACAGGGTCCCCTTTCTCCCCCCTCACTAGCACGAACAATTATCTTGGATAAATACACACGCGCAAACCCCACGACCTCGTCAAGTCAACGGTTGACTCTCTGTCCTTCAGCAGACTTCATCCCTGTTGGGTAATCAGTGGCATATGGCGTCCTAACAAAAATGCATTCCGACAGTCGGTAAATCGCGTGCATTCGATGTCAAGTCTACCTTCAGGCATTGATCTTGCCGCGATTTAAACCATGTGCCATCTTTTGGAGGCACGACCTCCAATTTCTCGCAACTCTTCAGGCTCTTGTAACGCCGAATATTTCATATTAGATAAGGAGACCGTCAAATATTAGACAGAAATGGGGATATAAGTTTTTTTATATTAAACCCTAGTAATTGTTTAAATTCATTTGGTTTTTCGGTAACCGTTGCAGAACAATAACCATGGAAACTAGCGGGAGATTAGATAATTATTGAATTTTGCACCTCGAAGTAGAGATAATTATGATTCCCTAAACTCGCAGGCAACGTTTCCAATGGCAATGTTTAATCGTGACTGCAATTGGACAGTGGGTTAATTGGTCCACATTAGTCAGAGAACGTAGGCGAATGCACAAAACCGTGAAAGAAGGAAAAATGTCCCATTTCCGATAAATCACCTCGGTGTTCGTTAGTACTTTGACATTAATTACAGACTTTGACCGAAAAATGAAGTATCCTTACAAACGCTGAGTCTAATGCAACTATTCTTATCAAACGGGCGAAGACATTCAAATATTTCCCGGCTAAATACAGGGGCGAGATTCGTTAATTGACAAACATCACGGAGAGGGGAGTCGCAGACTTTCCAGATGTGGACAAAAATCGCATCATTCGACAGGAAAAATCGTTGAATAATGGGTCAAGGGCATCGGCATGTGGTCCTGAACAACGTCAATGACGCTGAGCTAAAAAGTCATGTGGAAGATCAGCGACGTCAAGCACAACTGTTTATTAGAGTGCTCGGCCGACTTATACTGAGTGGTGGGTAGGCATGTGCCCACAGTTGCATGTCATCAACGACCTTCTAGTACCATCAGCTGGATCCTCAAGGGAACTGCCAAGAAGAAAGTGGTTTAGAGGCTTGAATCAAGTTCAAATAATTGTCACCAATTACACAACTCACGTCCTTTCAACAGACGCCAGGTTTGTTTCCTGCAGTGACCACGTTCTCTCGAGAATGTTCGGTAACAAATCAAATTTAAGTGACTTTTTAGGTCTGCCACACTTCACCGTCAGATACGTTAGACGCATCCGGTTGCATGACAAGTTTTGTAACATTTTAAGGTTGCACAGATTTCTGACATTTTTCGTGGTATCCTCGATTGTTTAAAATAAATTGTCCACCGATTTTCGATCCATATCTTCGTCAATTTTCTTGATCGGTAGGTTGATAAAGGAGAACAGTTTTTTGGCACGCAGAATGAGACGGGTCTAGATCAAAACATTGCACACTTCGCAAATCGATTCAGGCAACAAGTATTCCTGATTTACTACTGTTTTTCTACGTCTGCATCGTTGATTAAAGTAAAAAACTAGACTCATTCTGCCCCAGCAGTGTGTTCAAAAGGTTTATAATTAGCATCATGGACGTTAAATAAATTTTAAACAAATTGCTGTCAGTATGGAACATTGTAATCGGTGTCTCTTCAAGCCATTACGGAACGAAAAATGTGATCCGTTAACATTTAAATGGAAACGTCATTTTCTGAATGCAAAAGTTTAGCCGTGGAACAAAGCACCATTAACAAAAATAAAAGTTTCATAAAAAATAGGCGCTAAGATATCAGATACAACCCTGTAGTTAACAGCGGGTACAAAACGAAGTAAAGGAAGACGTGCATTGGCAGACGCAGCAATTGGAATGTTGGAGGACCTAAAGGTGAAGAGAAATGATAGTGTGTCTCACGGCTACGTTTCAGAATACACCGATTTGTAATGCGATAATTAGTAAAAAAACTATCGTGATGCAGAACATAAAAATATACGGGATAACTTTAACACAGGCTTATAAAATTAAAATAAATCTTTGAATTTTCTGTGTCCATGGACAAATTGCGCCTTGTACGTGATTTCCTGTTTTAAAAAGAAGACCGTATTAATTTGAAATCAACTTAGGTTAATATTGATATTTACGTTGTTCTAAGTTAATAAAGTGGAAGTCAAAATGTATTAATTAACTGTTTGGTTGCAGGAGGTCAATTTTTAACCCATTCATTCGTAAGCTAAATTTTAAAATTTCAACGGAAATATGAAGACCATTGAAATAAATAAACTATTTGTGATTATTTGAAATGTTGACTACCTTCCTGCATAGCTACGCAATTTCTTTAATTTAAGCGGCTGGATTTTGCATATTTTGGCTCTTAAATCTTGTTATCACAGAAGTTACCTCGGCCATTGCCAAATTTACCAAGTTGAATTTATCGAACACACTGTGACGTAACGAGCACCATAGCCACTAGGTTTGTTTTAAAATATTAAGAAATGAACGAGAAGCATACGAAAAATTGGCCTTAATTTGCTAGAGTTTTAACGTCGGGAGACCTTGGCGGAATTTCGATCTAGGTCATTAAGCCCAATCAAAATGATGCAAAACTGATGCAGCTTTTCTGACCCACCTCATCAGTATTTCTTCCGAAGGTAAGGTTTCTCTACCTGGATCATTTACATGGCTGTTTTTCATTGTGGCATTTTGTGTGGCATTCGAGCCTTTAACTAGCCTCTAACAAATACGCATTATTACCGCACCATTTTTATGCTCTTTTTAGTTTGATGATATTAAGGTCGTCTGAGGTTCTGTGGAGTTATCTCGTGTCACCAACATTTAATCTAGCTTCTAGATTACCTGCAGCGAAGAAATGATTGATGACATTTGGTGTTGTATGCGAGTCGACAATGTCAATCAGTATAGTACCATAGAAATTATTCTCAATTTATGAGTGAATTTTGATTATTTATCTGTATTGCCTCGTTGGTTCATAGAATTGTTTGCTAAGATAGCACTGGCTTAATGTTACAATCCTGTGCTGGCATTTGACGCACTGAGGTTGCCTCTGAACTGCGTTGGACTCTAACGTTTTCAGTTGGTGTGTTGAGTCTCGCTCTTTTTGTATTCGTCTTACTTATGGTTTATATTGCGGTTTCCTGGCTGCTCATTTCGGAACATTTTTTCGTTTGTCGTTCACTCAATGCTTTGTTAAAATGATTGCAAGTCTGGTTCTATCGGTAATTCCCTTTTTCGTTGGGGCTATCAGCATACAGATGTTTTCATATTTACATAATTAGGCACAATCTGTCATCTGAAAAACAGGATTCGGACATTGCGTAGTATATTGCGCACCACAAATAACCGTAACTGCATACGCGTAGGTCTGAAAAAGAAACTGATTTTGAATGCATCTCAAAAGGCACTAGCTGTCGACCTCTACATCAGCAGATCAATCAGAGGTCGCTGATAATTTCAGGACTCTACATCGCGCGCTCCAAATCATTGTTTTTTCTAGCGCCTTCACTCGCATTTCTTAGACAAAGCGGATGCGCTAAACATAAGAATGGAGGCAAGTATTGTTGAAAACGTCACTGTTTCAATTCACCTAAATTTTTGTTAGTCTTTTTTTGTTTTTTGAATACCGGAGTCAGTTTGATATCGACCGTTACCAAATTTGTTGATTTATCGTGGTGTTATTCTTCATCTCCTTGGTAAGTTTGATGCGACGGAACTACTTTGCTGGTGCCTTTACTAGTTGCCTGAGTTGCCTTTACTAGTCGATTTCACTTGGTTTTAGATGCAGTTATTTTTGAAAATGGATTTGATGTTCTTTAAAGCAGTGATTTCTTGAATAAAAGGCAATACAAATTAAGACGTAGCGATAATTTGGGACGACTTTTAATGCAAGCACAAGTTTTTTTTTTCATTTTAGTTCCGCCTTAGATGCTCTACAGCGATGAGCTCCCTGAAGACCTAATCTACTCTCAGATTCCCGGCTGTGGATGTGAGGGACCGTGCGTAGACCCGAGGGAGTGTGCCTGCCTTGTGCGCTCTCAAGGCCGTAACTACAGCCAGGCGGAGCGCTTGCTGTTGCAGTTGCAGTCACCACAAGAGCTTCTCCAGCGGCCTGTCTACGAATGCAACTCCGCGTGCTCATGCCGTCTAGACACCTGTGTGAATCGACTTGTCCAAAACCATCTGGAAGACACTAGCGCCCTCTGCGTCTTCGATGCTGGCGAGAAGGGACGGGGTATCCGAGCGTCGCGTAATGTGAGCCAAGGGGAATTCGTGTGCGTTTACAGCGGGCTTTACCTGGGCCCTGGGCGTGCACGTGCTCTGTCCGCCTCGCAATTAGCGACGTGTGGTCATGTCTACGTGTTGGTTGTCCGAGAGTACGCCGGCGTAGATTCTCGCCTGGTCTTTGAGACGACAGTTGACGGAGCCTGTGACCTCGAAGACAAACAAGCGCCGCTGCCCCTCGCCTGCCTAATTAACCACTCCTGTGACCCCAATTTGACGGTTATACCCGTCCGAGTAGACTCCATGCTGCCCTACTTGGCGTTTTTCGCATTGCGCGGTATTCGTGCTGACGAGGAACTAGCCTATGACTATGGAGAGAAGTCGTGTGAGAAGGGAGATCCTTCTGCTGCCAGGCAGTGTCTGTGTGGAGCATCGAATTGCCGAGGTTTTCTTCCGAATCCCGACTAACGGCGCACTCTACATGCATGATATTTTTGACTTGAGTTTGTATTAGTTGCCTTAATATGTATTATTGCTTATACATTCCCATCTACGAATCCGTTTGCCATTACTATCACAGCTGGTGATTAGAAATGGTCTACTGAGAGGATGGACAGTTTGGGGCATGAATACGTGGACATTGTCAATGCATACTATTCCTGCATGTCTCTTGGTGTCGTGTGGGAAAGAAAGCGAGCTATGTGTGACCATCTTGGTGGTTGTGGAACATCCAGGTGATTGGGTTTGAACACGTGGGGGCAAATCTAACAGAATTTTGTCTTCAAACCGTAGATTTGTGATATCGGCTGTTTCTAAAGCCTCGTTGGGTTGCACTTGACTGAGTCCCTGTAGTGATGGCGTGGCATGGCGTTGAATTCACGAAACGCGTATCTGCTGACTCTGCAAAACCGATCATCTCTGCTTTGGCTGACAGATGTTAGGAACGAGCAAATAACTTGTCTCAACCATAGCCCGCATTTCTCTGGGGTACTTTTCCACCAATCATGCAGCATCTCTTCCCAAATCACAGAAATCGAAACCGGTTTTAAATGTAGTGCAGTGATAAGCACTGGCAACGTTTAATGCCTGTTTAATCACCCGCCATGAGCGAAAAATTTGGCATCAGGCAGCACGTCACTTGCCAAAGAATGATGCCCGCGAGACCGTTCTAACTCGTTAGCCCAATTTTCCCTATTTAGGGGGATTAGCATGAAGGATTCCACTGCCTCTTTTTTCTTTGGTATCGGCCCACTTTCCCTTGTCTCGCATGTCTATTAAGTCGGAGAATTCACCTCCGAAATGATTAACACAGCACTACTGTAGACCCAGCAAGCAGGGTCATAAAAATAGACAATACTATGGTGAGGCGTGGAAGGCTTTCATGGTTGAAACGGGAAATATCGTGGTGGGCGCCAGAATATCTCACGTCTAACATGTGAACAAATTCAAATGACGATCCACAAAGGAATTCTTTTATTAAGGAACAAAGAACGTGTTTACTAATACCATTATAATCTGATTGGTAATAAATGAGTTGGTTGAATATAGGTGGGGGTATATAGCAAACAGGCTTTCCTAACTGTCCAATCCGATCAACCGTTGGTCATTAACGTCGCAATCTGCAGTCTCCCACTAAACGTTGAGCACATTGATAATGATCCAATGAACAAAACCATTCACTGGATCTGCTGCTGCTTTTGGATGGCACTGTTACCATCATTTGTAATACGCTTGATGTCCCTGCCTCAGATGTCACAACCTTGGACCCACTCTAATTCCAACATGTCCATCCTTGGTCTTTATGCATGCGGATATGTTAAAAAGACGATTCTGACGCTCTAACCGAGTCTACCACCCACGTTGAACTTATCGTTCGTTACTGTGCATGTCCATGCGAAAAAACAAGACTTCAATTTCACCGCTGGAGGTGTTCCAGAGGATCTGGATTCGTCGATTTAAGCTTAAATGACTCTGCAACCGCCACAGTTGAGATCAGTGAAGGGAATGAGTCGCGTGGCACGTAAGGAGTGCACTCTGAAATGACATCTTCCTGGGAACTGATCTCACAACTAGTTTTAAACTTTCATCTGTCATTGCATTAATATTCTCCTGAACCTCGACTAAAGAACGGTAATTCTTAGCTAAATGGTTCGTGGGGGAAAGGATTATTACAGGCTGAAACGTAATAACCAGAAATCACGTCGGATTCACCAATTTTAGTGCTAACAGCCCACGACAACCTGAGAACAGAGGAGACAGACAACAGCGGGCGTGGGTCACAGATACAAGTCAACTAGCAGGACAAAATGTTTGTGAAAGGTTCCTGTCCACGATTCGTTTGGAGAGAAAACGTACACAAATATTGTTATGGGCCCCAGCATGTGGTCTTGAACCACGCCGGGGCCACGGAATTAACCCTGGTCCAATTACGCTTCCCTGATGCCTGCGATGAAGGAAATGGCCGGAATGGACGTGGCCACAACCGTTTACTTCAGAGCTCAGCCTCGTTGGTGTCGTTGTGTCGTGTGTGCGATTTGCGCGTGTGTATTTATAGCTCGGACGTGTGAGTCATACATGGGCTAACATCGAGACCAAGGGGTGGGGATACTCCAAGATAAATATTCGTGCTAATAAAGGGAGAGCTGAGGATTCGCCTGGCTGGCGACATGCTGCGAAAAGGGGAACCCTGTGTAGGAGGTGGAGCGACAGGATAAAGGGTTGAATAAACACGATTCGCAGCAATATCTAGCAATAATTCAGAAAGAATCATCAAAGCGGTCGATGGTTTACTGCTAAATTCACATGCTGTGCCATTCGCAGACATGCCACGTATCTAAAATAGGCACTTGGAAGACAAACGCCAACACCCACCAGGCGTCAAATTTTACTCCCAGCTTTCGAACTTTAACATTGTCTGTGCCAACTGGCATTCGCGGGTGTCATTTAAATTAGATGACAATTGGCACATTTGCGTTGATTCACACCTCAGTAACATTCCGCAAAAACCGGTATTAGGCACGGTTTGAAGTAGTGGAAAAAGAAATTATTCATTAAAACTTAGGGGTGCAACAACTTGAACGAGTTCAACAGTGCTCTGGAAATTAAGGACCTGTGTAGTCGCAGGGCTAACCGAAGGTTTGGCTCCAACCTTTCCTGATAGTTTTGAAGATCGACCGAATGTTAAATTAGCCAAATACAACATGTAATCCGAAATATGCCTTGTGTGGTGCTGTATGTATATGAAAGTTGCAGAGAGGGTGAAGCAATGACTGAAGCGTCACATGAGATTCACTCAGAACGGATGTCGAACAGTCCTTACGCGCAGTGAATTAGGTTCGTGTGCATGACTTCGTGCAAATGTCAAACGTACACTATGTTGGTTCACAACTCGTCACATCGTACCACCGTACTCTATCTCGAAGTGTCTGTTCTGCGGTCCTTGTGCCGCATCAGTACACAATGGCATGGACATTTTGTTGGAAAAGTTGTCGGTGCATATTTGCAGTAATGGACGCATAGTTCTTGCTTCTCTCGGACCTGTCGTCAAGCTAACGATTAAGTCATTCTCCTTTGCGTTATCCTTGATACACCATAGGCCAACGTGGATCCTTGTTCCTGCGACTCGGGGTTAGCTTGCTGACAAAAGACAGTTGGCAACGCCACAACCGTCTACTTGTCTCTTGCATCCAACGTGTCAGCCGGTCCAATTGAATAAAGGAAACCACCGCTAGATTTGTTGTCTACTGTGAAAAGTAAAAAAAGCTATACACAAATGAGTTTATCTTTTTTCCGTTCCCATTTCTGATTTGATGAGTCAGTTTAGTGTTTTGGTTGTTGCAAACAAAGTTACCGTATTTTGTCTGTGGCCTTTCACTTCGCCAACGTGGCACACGCACACACCTTCACAAGGTTGGAAATGTGCGTTGTGTTGTGTTTACCTTTATCCATAATCACCTAATTTCAAGTCTTCTAGTAACGCATGTTGTCGTTATTCAATACTGACAAGTCTTTTTTGCAAGTCGTAGATGCTGTACAGCGACGAAATCACAAAGGACAGTCTCAAATCTGGAAATCCGGGCTGCAGTTGTGAAGGCGCCTGCACGGACTCTCCCACCTGTTCTTGTCTGGTTCGATCTGAAGGTCCAAATTACCGCCCAGATGAGCCCCTGTTGGTGAGATTTACGTCACCAAAGCACCTACTCGGATACTCGGTCTACCATAAGGCCATTTTTGAATGCAACTCAGCGTGTGCCTGCAGACCAGACAAGTGTAAAAATCGACTAGTCCAGTTCCGCACCGAAGACACCAGCGCTCTGGAGGCCTACGATACGCAGAACATCGGGCAGGGTGTTCGGGCGTCACGTGACCTACGCCAGGCCGAATTCGTGTGTGCTTTCAATGGACGCTACATTAATGCCCGCTACTCCCACGAGGTGGCAGCGACGCAACTGAAGGATCTCGGTCACGTCTACGTGACGATCGTGCGAGAGTTCATTGGGGAAAATTGTATTTTCGGCTTCGATACGGCAATCGACGGTGCCGACAGCGCCATCGAAAACCACACCCCACTTCCGCTGACCTGCCTCATTAATCACTCCTGCGATCCCAACATGACGGTTATTCCGGTCAGAGTTAACTCCGCCCGACCTATCTTGGCGTTGTTTGCACTGCGGGACATTAAAAGGGGTGAGCCACTGGTTTATGACTACTTGGAAAAATCTGGACAGGAATTCTTTTTGCTCGGCAAGAAGTGTCGCTGTGGAACCCCGCTTTGTCATCGCAAATTCCAACCTTCTAGACAATGAACACGTCTTCCTGATGAACACCTAAAGCTACCTTTTTTTCAATAAACATACATAGAACACCTTTTATGGCCATGACCGTGCTCGTTATCATGTTTTTTGCTCGTTGGAATGTCATGAATGCCACAACCGCTGCTCTGAACGTGTGTGCAGGTAATGTGCTGATCACATTAGTAAAGGTGAAAACGTGAATTAAATTATTGTCTAATTCCATGTGCCGGTGATATCGAGGAAAGTGGGTATGTTCAGAGTCAGTTCAAATTGATTGGATGGTAATTTGACCTCACGGGACACTCATTTCAAGGTTTTTGGTGTAAATGTCTGCGTAGTTTTAACAGAATGCTTCAGTGTGGAAAACAGGAGTACTCTAGAAACTCAGGCACAAATCTGTGGCCTCGCTCTTGAATAAAACAACCCTTGTCTACTTACGCCTTTCGCATACTGCACATTGAAAGCCTTTTACATGCCACTGTATTAAATTGTGTGTACACATGACGTGCGTGTGTGTGTAATTGGGCTATTTTGGTGACCACCTAACCAACCAACTCCTCAAAGCAGAATCACTGTTTTAAGCTCCAGGATTAGTTAATTAGCGGCAACCCCAAGTGACAGTGACTGCTATTACCATCACCTGTTTCCTTCACTGCCAACAACTACGCTTCTGTTTTTGATGTGCACTACAATACCTATGTGAAAGATCAATAACAGACGTGCCGCTTGTCACCCTTCAGTTAAACACCCAAATGTGGTTATCACTGTATCATTACAGATTCACGAAACGATTATTCACAATTGAAATAATGTCTGATGACAAGTGACCGGCTGCTGTACACAACGATCAAACTGACGTGTAGCAGAAAGTTTCACTTTATACTCAATTTGGACATCAATACCTAAAAGCCGTTTGAAATGATACGAGTTTGCTGGCATATACAGACTCAGTAAGGCACGTGTCACATTTAGGGTAAAATTAGGTTGTGTCCAATTAGGTCCGCCTTTGATGACCTTCAAACCAGCCAACCGAGTGCAGAGGCACATTATTTGAGCTCCAAGAGTGGTTGGTTTAACACAACCCCTCGTTCATTGGCTGCAAATACTATCATCCACCAAGTTCATGATCTACGTGTGTCAGTCAGAGTTGGAAACGAAGAAGATAAAGGCCCCAAAATTGTTTAACGGCATGCATGTGCCCCCCCCCAGCTTCGTCCGAATTTCACTGACACATTTAAAAACAGCTGATTTTGTTGAAAGTATGTAGCTAATAACAACCCTAGTGTCATTTAACACGCTCTGCACACTGTACACACAGCCTATTGATTGGTGTATCTGTTGCGTCCTACGGCAAAGAACCGCACAATTAGACAAGAAAGGATTTTTGTAGGGTAAACTAGGTTTTAGAGCGTTATGATTGGATAAAATATCGGAAGCCAAACTAAATTGTCTTGTCCGTGCAGATTATAAATCAGTTGTTGCACATTGCAAACATTCACGAACCTGCCCAAAGTCTGGCCGTGGATACTTCGTTAACAACCTCACGCATTTATACGCATATTGCAAGGTTTTTTAAGCATTCAAATTCACTGATCTCTCCTATGAGCTGTACTCTCGTTCACGTTCATGGATAACCCAAAAGTATAACTTCAAAATAGGCAAAACTTTGCTAACGGGGTCTGATTTTGTGATAGTTTGACAATACCATTTACATGAAGTGAATTGTGTTGCCGTGTGACACGTCCACTAGGGAAATATTGGAAAAACTGACAGTTTAAAGCGCCGCGGCTTCACTGGTGGACGATGTGAGCAACCTTCTAGGTGGAATTTCCCACCTAGTCGCATGTGGGATCCTCACCATCATCAGTAGCCCTGCTAGCGAACAATGTCACGAATTGTGAGGTTGAGTCAATATGTCGGGGAACAGGTATCATGTGGGGGTCACAGCTTTGATTAATAAAGAAGGTGCGTGAAATTCGATAGTGTGAAGAGCGCCACCAACCCCTCGCTCTAAGATGAGACAAGGGTATTAACAAGCTAACGTGACCTAGCTTCCCTAATGGACTACATAGCAGAAGATAGCGAGATAATTAGAATGTTAAAAGCATGAAGACTGTTCGGTCACTACACAAGTCTGGGATAACACCTATGGAAAGGTCGAAAACCGTGCCCAGTTTTCATGCGTACGAAATGAAAAACACAACAATCTCTCCCCGATGTGATTTGGCGCTTCACTGATCTGGGTAACCTGTTGCAAATGGTGATTCGTGTTAACCCGATTTTTGAATACTCAGACGCTGCTCTCCTAATTTCACGGCGTCTCTATCGACCTTACGGAACTCTCTGCCCATAGAACATTGTGCAATTGCCACCCCACACTACCCATTTAACCTTTCAAGTCCACACACACACACTACTTTGACCAATAGCCATGGCGTTTCATGTCCAATGGTGACACAAACGCAACTGGTCGAGTCTTCCACTCTCCTCCTATCCAATTTCCCCCCGTAGATACCCCTTGGTGTGTCGTGCCACTAGTTACACCCCGACGACTAGACGGTGGTTCAGAATGGCAGGCCACGGTAACTCCTCCGACAATATAGATGCTTCGGGCTGCGGTTCACTGAGTAACTATGCTATTTGAATCACTCGACGACAACCCAGCGGATCCACGAAATCTCTGTAAAGCTGTGTTGTAACTTTGAAGTCCCCATTGGACCCCACAGAAGCGCGACCACCAGTTCTCACAGGTAGTGACTCAAAAAACGCAATTATGCATTTGCGACATAAGGAAGTGGAGGTAGTTTGAATTTAGTAAAACATGTACAATCCATGTATATGTGGGAGGCCAAAGACTGCTAAATGCGACCGTTCGGGGATTCCATGGCGTTACGACGGAACGGCGATCGATCTCGTGGGGGCGGTGAAGAGTTCCGAAGCATTTTTTCACCGCCCAATTGAGGAGGGGAACGGTTCCGTCGATAATTAGGCGACCTCTCGCCCTCCCACTTCCTTCCTGGTGCAGGGTTTTCGTCCGGCCGCGATCTCGAGGGCGGGGAACCGCAACGGCCACCCCGTTGTCTCGATGACACGGTTCCGCCCTTTGTAGTTCGTTCTTTTTGAGGAGTCGAATCTCTACGGCCTCGCGAATTTTTTTGTGCGGGGGAGTTGCGCCGATCGCCTGGTTTCGAGAGCGGCGAATGGGATGATCCACGTCGGCGATGCGACCTCTCCTCTTTCCCAGATTGGCGCCGTGAAAGTGGAGACACGTAACGACCACCCCTGTCTTCCCTTGGTGAGCCTCGTGTGTGTCTTTGATCAATATTCGGCGATGGTTGGTGGTGTCGTGATCTCTTCTGCGGAACGAAATCGCCATCGCGTCTTCTCGAGACGGAAGTACAACCACGTTCGTCTGTTGGTGAGTTTTCGATGCTCCTTTTCTCCACAAGTGGCGAAGGTTGACGTCGCTTTGGAGGCGACCTGAGTTCTCGTCTGATCTCCGGAGTAACATCTCTGGATGGCTTTTTCGGAGGGGAATTGTAGCGGTCAGTTAGCGGTGATTTGTACCTTCGACTCCTTTTGGCAGCTGGCGAAGGCTGGCGGTGCACTTTCGGTGATCGGCTCGCCTGTCTGGCTACTGATGCTAACTCATTGGTCTGCCTTTTTGAGAGAGGAGAAGCACAACGTCCACGGCTTTCCATCATCGGCGAATCGTACCGTCGTCGTTTTTCTGCATCCGGCGATGGATGGCGGTACTGGGCGGTCAGCGCTTCATCGCGTTCCTTCAGTGATGCACTGTCCGGTGAAGAAATATTGTGACGTTGACGCTTAGAACGCGAGGGATTGTAGTAGCTGCTTTGCCGTGCCTCGAATGAATTCGGAGACTCACGAGGGATCCGCGATTCGTCAGGTGGAGATAAATGTCGTGGCGGGGGTGACCTGTTTGCCTGTCCCCTTGATCTAGTTCTTTCAACTTCTTCTCTCCTACCCGCATCTAAGCAACAAAAAGTCACCAAGCAATGTTTACTGCTAAAATTGAAGGATTTATGACTGTTTGGTAAATATTATTGGGTCATAATTTCACCACACCCAGCCTCACTAATAATAAATAGTAATTGATATAGTGCTACACAGTTCAGTATCGCACAAGAACAGAATGATAAACATACTCTTTTTTGTGTTTTCGGGGATCTCCGGTGACTGAGGAGATCGTCTGGCACGATCTGATGGTTCACGGCGCTTTTTTACCGGCTCCTTGGCTATTCCACCTTTCCTCTGAGGCTCTTCCTCCTCAGAATCGTCACTGTCACTAGAGGAGGAAGAAGTGGACGACGTGCTGGAATCCGAGGAGCTTGACTCCGATGAGCTTGAATCCGAGGAACTAGAAGTGCTCTCAGAAGAAGAGGAGGAGGATGAAGAAGACTCCAGCTGTGCAACAGCTTCCGCAAGCTTTGCCTTATCACTAGTCCCTTTCGACGCCTGCAGGTGCTCTCGTAAATCTATCGTCAAACCACCAAGGCCAATAGTTGTGAGGAAGTTGATCGCGAACCGCGTGTCTTTGGGATTATCGCGGGGCAGAAGACCAGCGAAGAATGGCTGCAGAGTCTCGTCCCGTAGACGCGCCTGCAATTTTGCCAGTCCCATAAACGAGCACAACTCTTGAAACAGGTACTTCAAGAAAATACGTCCCGAAGATGTGGTGTCCCGTTCATTCAGTTTGACGCACTCAAAAACGCCCCACGAGATGGAGTCGGTGAAAAGTAGGTGCGCGAAGAACATGGCAACGTTCTTCAACTTCGTCGTCTCCAGGCGGTGCACGGTTGCGTACTGCTCTGAAAATATCTTCTCAAACTGCGCTACGTAGGTGCGAGGGGGTTCTGAGGGATCGGATTTGGGTTTCTCCTCGCCTGGTTTCGGGCGATCCCCGGAGAAGAGCATGACGCGACACAGACGCTGTGCCAGACTGCCGTAGCGCGTCTCGTAAGACCTGGTCTGTGCACAGCAGTCCAGAACCATCGATGCAACTTCGTACTCCTCTCCTGGTTTGATCTTTAGCTGCAACAAGCGATGAGCACCCTCATCCGCAGATACGGAGGACTGAAGCATGAGGTAGATTGTTCGTCGAAGATGAACCAAATTTGTTTCCGTCTGATCGATAATTATACCACTCTCCTGTTCGCCCGGGCCTTGGACACCCTCCTCACCCTCTTCTTCATCATCCGATTCAGATCCAGACCCGGAATCTGAACCGGAGCTCTCATTTTCACCGTCGCCGAGGAAGGAAGCACGAATAGCCGAGTACTTTTCCTCGTTTGATTCGAAGTCGGGATCAAAATGATATATGTTAAGACCCTCCTCGGGATCAACTGGGTCCAATAACGACAAGGTGTGGGTAATTTGGTCATCTTCGTCAATCAGATCAAGCTCAGGCAGCATGGTAGGATGATCCTTCCAGCCATCACGACGAATCTATAGTAGAAAGAAAAGGACAAGTCATCTCTGTATATTAAAGAGATATGGCTGGCAGCAATTACGATCGCTACACATCAAACGGAGGTGCTTGAGGGATGGCGAACAAAATCGAAAGTGACTTTGAATAATAACAATAATGGGAACTGCCAAGAGGTGCTGCATGCACGCAATCTCGGCGCCTGTACCAAAATAACGTGATCTAAGCCTTAGGTAGCTAAAGCGTAACGCCTAATTTGACAGGATCCTCACGACGAAAATATTCAGGTAAAGAAGTATTTGAATTGCGTGATCCAACTCGGATGCGATCCTGACATCATGCCTATTTCGGCATCACACGATTTTGACTACGAAACTTTTCGCCAAATATCACCAATATTTCAACAACTAACAGAATCAGAGTACTTGCCTGAAAAAGAACTTCAATCATGTACGCGATCCGCTTGTCGCATTGACTTTCATTGAGAATACGTCGAAGATGGTCAAAAATGCCAGCGAGACCCTTGGGCACAACTTGTGAAAGGAAAGCGCCACACTCCTTCAAAGTGGCGACGGATACCTCAACACTGTCATCCGTTGTTTGCTCCAGTAGGAGAGTAAGCAGTTCAAGCACTATAAGCTCATGCGCAACCTTTTGATTGACAAGGTGCGCCAAAAACCGAGCTGTGGTTAAACATCGATCTTTCTGGTTTCGACGAAAAGCTTTGCGGAATTCGTTGATTAGGCGTTTCAAAAGCAGCTCACCGACCTGTGGATGGAATTTAGAAAGAGAGCATTAGCCAATTATTCTTCAAAATTGTGCACAGCTAGGACTCAAAGGGACCCTGAATCAAACAAGCACAGACTACTTCAGAGTTTCCCACAATCATCAACGCTTTTTGTAGAATTGAATGCTTTACATTAACGCAAAACCATAGCAAAAGCAACGTTCACACAAGGCTGGTTTCAACTAAAAAAGACAACCTTGCTAAGTTCAAGAACAAAAAAATTGCTTATTTCAACGAATGTCGACTTTTAGAAGAATGTTAGTAGACAAAAACAGCAACTTTCGATTAGGTGTGGTACCAAAACACACAAAAGATAACATACCTGGGGAAACTTCGTATTAACTACGGCAATTAGAGCTGCAAAAACGTGTGTGAATGTAGGGGAGGTCGTTTGAGACGTAATAAGGGACTTGACCAAAAGCCCTCTTCCACGAACAATATTTTCACAAAGGAGTTGACGCACAACCTGCGCAATGTTAGACACGTTGACTTTGTTTATAAGACCGTGAATGGATTTTTTTAGTGCTTCCCAGGCAATGCGCTGATATGCATCCGAGGACTTGTCTGTAATCTTAGCTTGCATTTGACGCAGACGGGCTGGAGGAATATACGCACCACCAGTTTTTCCAAAAATATTAATGTTCTCAGATGGAGATCCAGGCCTTTTTGTAGGCTTTGAGCCTGAAGATTTCAGTTTTTCCATGTTATCTGCAGATTTTAAAGAGGTTAACGGGGGAGATGATGATCTCGACGACGATGATCGTCGCCTTTGGCGACTTGTAATGGGAAAGGAACGTGTGGACGCAGCTTCGAGCGCAGCCATTTTGAACTGTGCAGATTGCGGTCAATCCACAGTCTGTTAGTGTTTAAATGAGCATCAAGCCCGTTTCTTAAAGAAGAGACTAAGCATTTTTTTAAGGCTTGTACAAATTTTAAATGTTTTTTTATGTAACTGGTAATATTTTGTGAGGCAAAAGGCATATGAGCAAGTATTTACGTAAGATCACGTAAAGTCATTAGTGTTAAAAAAATAAAAACGGATAATTTACCGTAAGCAGTGATTTTTACGAAAGGAATACATGATAGGATCGTGTTTTATATGTTACAATGCATCGTTACTGACAAAAAGTTTGTGGTTAATGTTCTTTTAAGACTCAAGCGAAATTTTAATCTTTATTGTTTTCTTTGTGTCTTTTTATAAATATTTTAACTTTTGACACATGTTTTGACAATTTCATGGAGAAACATTTTAAATAGCTCACACGAAACTTAAATCATTCGTATGCACGCAAGACGGTCGTGATTTAATAATCTGCACATTTCCTTGTCTTAACCTGGTTACCTAGATATATTTCATTTTCTTAATTTTTCTAATCGAAACCCAGATATATACACAAGGATCACAACTTTTTACTACACAAATCTATTTGTTGCCTTGATAGTTAACGCTGCAGCTCGTGTGCAAGTTTTTGTACCTATGCACATTTTAACTATTGAATGTGTATCTGGAATGTAGATTGAAGAATTACATTTAGGTTTGTAGTTTAATTTTACCAAGTTATTTCGAATGAATGACTTTTTTATATCCAGCTTGCTATTCGTAACATTACAGGTTTGTTAGATCACCGAATGTACCAACACGACCAAAGAATTGGACAGTCGATATTTTTTTTATCATTGTTCTCTGTACGGATTAAAGTGTTACGGATTAGAAAATTAAATCATGCAGACGTGGATAAAAAAAATGCCTCTCTATAGTTGATCCTTTTTTCAACGCAAGAGTCATGTACTTCATTGTCTAAAAGCAAAGTTAGTAATAAAACATTCCTACATTTAGTTTGCCCGTTTTAAACCATTTGAGACCGGATTCTTCATAGCCTCTAAGGATAGTGCTTTCGTGTTGCTCAACTTACCAGCATCGGATTTTCAATTTTTTAATAATAATACTGACTGGTTAGTTTAGTGATGCTAACACAAAAATATAGTCAACGGGACATAAATCTAGGTCCCCCTGTGATAATTATGAAAAGCATGTTTTGTCTGAAGTTTCACAATAATTCACTTTTCATAAATTAGCCTTTTGTGACTAATGCTTTGATGTCATTTTTACTCTTCGTCAGTAATGGATGGCCATGGGCATTAATATGCTAAAATACATGCTTAATAAACGCCAAAAGTCTTCACCTGATTTGTCTATACCAAAGAACGTATTTAAAAATTTCAAATGAGTCGCCGCTTGCCCCAGCAACTAGGCAGACACATTCTCTGACAAGTTTTCAAGACACAATGCTGTGGTTTAACTTTTAACATTATTTATTGGTTGGAAAGCATGATCCACGCACGCCGATCTGGCCTGTTCTTTGTCCTCCTCTCCCCTCACTCTCGCCTTTCTCAAGGCACCCCCGTGAGTCCGAGGGTAACGCCAACCCTCCTCGCGGCCATCACTTTTCCCACTCTAACTCACCCAAAGCTCTTGCCGTCTGAGTTTGCATGCGGTGGCATGGAATGCATCCGGTTCTTCCAGCTATTCTTCTATCGTGTGCCTGGTAGCTAACCATGATAGTGAGGCTATCTAAGAGGGGCGGGCCAACAGTCATCTCCTTATTTAGGTCCCCTCTCGGTAGGCGCTCTACAGATCCAATCTGAAGATTAATAGCTCGCGCCAACATCGGAATTTTATATGTTTTCAACATGTAGTGTCACGTTGACAGTAAAGAAAGCAGGTGATAAGCTTTTCAGTAGACTTGAACTGAACAGTTTCTGATAGGCAGATTTTGCTTCTCTGTGGGCTTATATCTTATTAGGTGCTTTCGAAAATGCAGAAGTGAAGCACATCTTCAGAAACCTCCCTGTTGTGTGCCTTCAATGATAGATCACGAGTAAAAAACCGAGTTGCCTTGAAAGTAAACAGGTTCCTTATTCCCAATGCGCTTTACAACGGTTATCGCCCATCCCTCTTCTGTTTTCATATTGGTAACTTACAGAAATGCTGTAAAGTTCAAACTTACACGATATTTGATTACTCTGCGTGATCGTTGATGATTCAGTTCGAAGTTGTAACAGCCCTCTCTTTTTCTGGCTAAGAACTGATCTTCGGACAACCCTCTACCCGAGCGTGTCTATTGACCAATGTCTTAGGTTCATCTTGTCTTTAACCAACCAGTATTAAATTAACAATGCGAAAAGTGGACGGACGTACCAAGCAAGAAGTCTTTAGACAAAGCGAGTACAATATTCTCTAAAATGTAGTACTGAGGATGGCAGTGGTTATGCAGCCAGTAAGCGCGTACGTCAGATAAATTGTGGAAGCAATCGCCGACAATTTTCAGCCCCACAAAGACACCGTTTGCTAGAAGGTATGATATGTTCGCCTGACTTTTCGATGTAGTCATACGTGAGTTCCTCGCCCAGATCAATATCTTTAGTCGCAAACAACGCGAAGATTGGTTGGTCAGTCTCAACTCGCACGGGAACGACGGTCATGTTGGGGCAACAGGAATGGTTTATGAATGCGGACGGCGGTGGGTAATTTTTGATTTCCCAATCCATACTGGTGCCGTCAATTGCTGTCTCGACAACGAGGCGGTGAGCGTAGCCTATAAACTCCCGGACAACCATGACGTAAATGTCTCCATACCGCTTGAATTGCAGCGCAGCCTCGTTATACGCTGAGGTCATGGGCAAATAGAGTCCTTTGAATGTGCACACAAACTCGCCTGGAACTAGGTCACGTGTAGCTTGGACTCCGCGACCCCTTGTTGCCGTTTCATAAACCTGCAGAGCGGTAAAATCGTTCGTAAAGTATTGGACCAGGCGATTTGTGCAGTTTCTCTGTGTGCATGTGCATGACGAGTTACATTCGAAGACTGGTTTGTGAAAGGGGTGACGAGGTGGCAGCACCTGTAACAGCAAATGCTCTAGTATGCTGTAATTTCGGCCATAAGAGCGTACTAGACAGGCACATTCACTCTCAGACGAGCAGTCATCAGTGCAGTTACAGCCTGGATTGCGGGATTTGAGCACATCCTCGGAGACCACGTCGCTGTAGTTCATCTAGGAGAAAAACGTAATAATCTGGTTAAGCAGTCTCGTTCATGCGATTGCTTCAGTTGCTAACATAACTACACTCGCATGAAACCACACAAATAGACAGTTTACTCAGGTCACTGCAGCAACAAAGGTAATCAAATAACTGTAATAAGATGATCCCTCAAATATCGTGAAAGCTGTGAATGGACCCTTTAACTCTGAATTACATGGTGATTTCCGTCAATGCCTTCTCAGCATCGACGATGAAGTCCACAGTGAAATGTGATTTCAAGCCTAATTCCTGGAAGCTGATTTGAATTCTCCATCCTGCGTCAAATTAAGGGAACACTCTTGTGGTGCAGTTAAAAAACGAGGAACAATTAAACAATCAGTCAAGGAAATGAAAACCAACTGCCATCAAACTAACTCAACCAAGCAAACAGTAAACAGGAGGCGATTTCCACATAATTGTTCGTATCTTTGTATGATTACATAGAAGAATGCTACTAGAATGTGCTAAAGCGCGTCATTCATCCGTAGCTGAAGTCCGATTTCCGAAATTGCCTTTTTGATAATTTCTGGTGAAGATGGTGGTGATGGATTGTTTCACGAGATTGGAAGATAAGTTCAATTTAAAAGCCAAGTTGAAGTTTCCCTCATTCGGCATGACTTTGCTGCTAAAGTAGTAGGTGCAGAAGCTCTATCTCCTGAGCAAATTGAAAGAATGCCATCAAGATTCGCCGAACAGTCTCCTGCAGTTACAAACGAGTTTCCGAGTGCCGCCTGAATTTTTTCACCGTCTAATCGCAACAGGCGGCGGTTTTGGCCATTGTGACTGCTCGATCTGATCTGTATTAGACGTGCATCTTGTCTCTAAATGGGCATCCGAGTTGTGATAATGACAGAGTTTGCGCATTACGCCTAGAAATCTGCTGAATTGAAAAACACCTAGGCATAAATATGCCTACTCACTCACTTCTAGTCCTACTAAGGGCTTGGTGAACCAATCTCAACGTCAAATTTAATGCACAATCAAATTCCGAGGCGTTGGAACTAAGGTGTAGGTAGAGCCTTTACCGGTGTAATGGTCATCCTCTGCTTCGAAAACATTCAAAATTGTGCTGAACTGAAGGAAGCGGCTGCCGCAAGACGTCGAAATTTAACGCCACAGACCCTGTTCTCAGTGTGCACTCAATCGGATCGTGGCATGAGGTGCATGTCGAAGGTATGAAGACAATCACCGTCGTATGTCCAGGTGGAGTTGCGTATCATAGTGTGGCGTTGTTCGTACTAATGCCTTGTGTAATGTGGGGCAAACGAAGTAGGGATTTTTGAGTGAACTGAACGAGCACTAATGGCAGCTCACACGGAACTTCAATCAATCGTTTGCCTGCAAGACTGCTAATCACAGACGTCGAAATTGACTGTGCAAGTCAGAAATTAAACCTACTCCACACCGCGATTCCTTTTTGGCTCCTTTAAACGACGACTTAGATGTCTCAGGGCAGATTTTGGATTAAATATGCTATGCTTTTTCAGGTAACGGGTGTTTCGTGCCAAAATAATCGCGGAACAGATTATTTCAACACTGTCTCACCCCGTCACGCCGTGTTGCTCGTTCTGATGAACGCTGTGATGGCTGGTAAGTTCAAAAAAGTATACTGGGGTGTAGTTTGGTTGTCCAAGGTGTTTCGTTTTCTTACCACCTCTGTGGTTGCTTCGAGTGTTACCCTGGTTACCAATCCATCGACTTCGGCGTCGACTACCTTCGCAACATCGCCATCTGGCCAGACCAACTATACTTCTTTTACTTTCCGATAATTCAAAAAGAGAACAGCCAAAGCATTAACATGGTGGTTTAACTGAATTTTTGGAATAATTAATCCGTATTGCCACTCCGTCGTTGCTTATTAAAATGATGACTTGAATAGACGTAAATTACTGAGTATGTTTGTTTAAGTATTGGATGCCATGCTCTACCCGTCTTTATAAGATTATGAGAACAGACGGGTTAGCTTTTGAGAAAACTGATTACTAAGGATGGTATCACTAACACGAGACCACTAAAGTCTTATTTGAGTTTTGGAAAAAGTCGTTTAGATAGTTTTTACATTAAGAGAGTAAGATGACTTTCCATCATTGGTACGCTACTTTTCGACCTTAAAACATGGATGCTGATACGAAAGAGGTGGGTTTACCATTAATGAACTAGCGGTTCGTTAGCCAAAATTCCAATAGATCTTTGTCAAATAGTTTAGTTTCATAGTGGAATATAACCTGAGACGCTTATATTGTTCGTGGAGTTACCATAGACTGCAATTCAGTGTCACCTGGGGATCGTTAGGGTGTACTTGGTGGCATAACACAGCACAGGGGAGCGAGTTAGAGGCCCAACCAATGTGTGCGCTTGGCATTACCGTGAAAATCAACGTCATGTCTGACTGATATTGGTTATTAGCCAAAGCAGTGTGGGTAAAAATGAAAAGTATGCTGGCTGAATGGGTAGCTAGAGGGGAAGTGACATGCATAATGCTCGGTGATCAGAGTTCCTCAAAGCCGGTTGGGACGCCGTGAGAAGGTTGGGGAAGCGAATCTGCGTTTGCGGTGACGGGTTTAACGGGCGTGATTTAACGTGAATTAGTGCAAGCAAATAGACTGCACCAGCTTCATGGTCACCCACACCAGTACATGTTTGTGGCTGGATTTCCGTGTTAGGCAATCCATAGTCTGTCCAACGTATTTAGAAGTACCTGTTATTGGCACCGCCATTGAAACCCTTTTCAATGGGATGGACGTCTTTGAGATTTAATTAGCGAAGCACAGTAAAAAGCAATGGAAGAAGAGACTTCTGGTTCTATGGAAGTGCGAATAAAATAAGAAACTCGTCTCCCCTCGCACAAACCCAGTCATTTTCCCCTGGATACCGCGTGATGTCTTCTTAGGTATCTTTGTTCCTGTCAGCCAACTAATACAACGACAGTTTACGCTGCTAAATCAACCCGTTTTGAACATCTACAAAATGTCTCGGTGGTGGAATGTGTAAAAAATTTCAAGATTTCAATGGATAATATAGTATTCTGAATTTAAGCAAAAAAAACAGATAATTAGCTATTTATTGTCTAGGCATCTGTAAAAGGTTGAAGACACGACCTCACAACAACTACAATGATTAATTTTTTTCATCTTCTTGCACTGCTTAATGCATTATCTTGGATTATACACCGTCAGATCGCAACACGCGACTATAAATAGGCTCGTGATTGAAAGAACTACACGTAAGGTCTGAACTTGGTACACTTAGTGTGCTCTCTCCGCATTTGATGCTGCCGTCGCATATCAGAGATTCTGGTTATCATGGAAGAGGCAACCAGTTGGTCCAATAAACGGTAATTTTGAACGCGATGAAGACACAGACGTCTAGTTTCGAGCATCCAAAGTATTTGCAGTTCATGGCCGATGTCTGCATCTGTCAACGAAATATCTACTATGCATGCTCAAGTTGAATAACGGTCCAGACTCTGGGAAGGTTCGTCGACTTTGTTTGCAATTTGCAATAACTGATTTATATGATCTGCACGGATCTTGCAATTTAATTTGGCTTTCGACATTTTATCCAATCATAACGCTCTAACACCCAGTTTACCCAACAAATATCCTACCTCGTTTAATTGTACGATTCTGTGCCGTAGGACGCAACATATACACCAATCAATAGGCTGTGTGTGCAGTGTGCAGAACGTTGTAAATGACATTTGGCTTGTTTTTAGAAACCTACTTTTAACAAAATCAATTGTTTTTAAATGTGTCAGTGAAATTCGTACGAAGCTGGAGGGGGGGCACATGCATGCCTTTAAACAATTCTGTGAAACCTGCGACTTTACTAGTGCCATGACAGCACACCGTCGACGTATCAGTGTTGTTTTGTCGTCTGTTTGACTATTTACACCCACTTTGTCCACGAACTATTCAGAAACACATCGCCGTAATTGTTACATGATTCCGAATCAAAAGCTAAGTAGATTACTTTTGCTCTGTTTCGTTTCGTCAATGTAATTTGTGAATATTCAGATACTAGGCAGAAATTTTCGAAAGCAACTAATGGAAATTACGCCATCTATTTTTTTTAAATTGTTGCAAATCTTATCTGGATTCTGCAATTTATTAGACGCAATCACAAAAGCATTTGAGGATGCAGTTGGTAGAGGTCATGATATTCAGCAGTGTTCAGAAATTTGCGTGTCTAGCACGCAAAGTGTTATCTTCTTCGTTTCCAACTCTGACTGACACACGTAGATCATGAACTTGGTAGATGATGGTAACTGCAGCCAATGAACGAGGGGTTGTGTTAAATTAACCAATCCTGGAGCTCAAATAATGTGCCTCTGCTCTCGGATGGCTGGTTTGAAGGTCATCAAAGGCGGACCTAATTGGACACAACCCATTTTCACCCCAAGTGTGACCGGTACGCCAAATCAGGCTATAGTGTTACGTTAAGCGGCCTACACCAGTAGTATTGTTGTTCGTAAATGAAGGTGACGAGTAAGACGGATGACGGTCAATGGAGTCCCTAAAATTTGAGGTAGAGGCAAACTCTCCGTACTCGGAGTTCCAAAACGTTTTCGCATTTGGTTAGTTGGAATGATAAACACTACGCATAGCCTTCACATCCTACACCTCCTAATGTTGCCTAGAATGCGATTCCATTTGAAATATTGCTCTACCTTGCATGCGATTGTGAACACTCCAATAGGAGTTCGTTGTTAGCTCTATGGCCAATTCGTTAAATCAACTGCTAACTGATCAAAAATTAACTCTCAATACTTACTTGCTCTTGTTTATTATTAGCATAAGATCGATGCAGAACTCGTCCTTATTCTTCATGCACCTTCTATTCCGCATCAATCAAACGCTTCGCCGTGTTCTGTAGGCTAGATTTGGTTCCAATTTCATCTCATTGGGCTCAAATGGTCTTTACCACGCAGAATTCAGGTAGCATATACGTTAATTAAGACCACCGCCTAGGTGTCCATCTATTCTAGTCTGACGAGAAGACTCCACATGCTGGCACTGCAGCCGACACTTTAATTCAAATGAGTGTTTCAGAAGTTGCCACTACCGGACAAATTGTCGTTAGCTGCGTCAGACCAGTCCTATTTTCATGCTGGATTCGAAATACATAAATTAAATTAACAAAATTAATTGCCTTACACACATCAAGTGAAGTTCCCTGACTGCAGCCTGTCTCCAGAGAGAGGATAATTTGATTTAATTCCGTTCTGAGTGTATTCCATGTTACTCTTCACTTTGTGTGTACACCAGCTTGGCTCAATTTCACACAAGTTCAGCACCAGGCGAGATGCATGAGGTTGTAAAAGGATTTCTCATCTCGTACTAAATCTCTCTCTGACCTAATTTAACTCTTTTTAAAAAAAAATTAAATACATGATCTGTTCTACTTATGACTTACCACAGTCCTTTGGGCACTTAGTTTTTTTATATAACGCTACAAGAATGACAAAATATAGATTCGTGGTTAAATAGTTAATAGTAGAACTATCAAGACTCGATCCCAGAAAAGCAATTGTTTTGATGTACTTACCAGGAATTAGAACTGTTGAAGTTCGCTAATTGCGATCCATTTTCACAATTTTTCAGCTCTCTACACGAACCACTCTCTGGCTAAACGCATCAGCGACACTCGGTGAAACCATCAACGAGTAAAATCCACTTTAGAAAGGATTCTTTGGCCAGATTATTGTTTTCAAGGCACTTCTTTACACTACCATAAGATAGTTATGGCTTTTAGTCGTTCACCGAGTATGCCTGCAATCAGAGGCCATGTGTGACATGTTCTAAGTGAACGGTCTTATTGGCAATGATAACAGTTCGCTTTCTTGACATCAACAAATCATCTGCTCAGTGGCATTTACTCAGTGAACTGTTAGGCGTACGACTTGCATGTTCGCGTGTCGATGCATCAAAATACACTATTCCTTCGACTCCTGTGACTGTACGTCTGACGCGTCTTTCGTGTCTCCGACCAGACATCACTTCTCGGGATACCGCGTGTTGCACCAGTGGATTCGTATCGGTGTTGCCAAAATTACAGGTGAAATTCCAATGCAGTCGCTTGTGATGGTTATCAATGACTGTTGAACAGATCGATTTCTATGGTTTAAGGTAATCCGGCTATCTTGTCACTGCAAGTTTCTCGTTGGAACAACCGTGATGGTGCCAATGACTGCTCCTCTGGTGCAGTGGCATTATATGCAGTTACAGACGGCGTTCAACTGACGTGGCAATCGGAAACAGGTCAGTAGGTGCTGTATATGGGTCGGTAACAGCCAAGGTGGTCTGGCATTCAGCATCTGTTGTTGATGTCATTGTAGCTTCAATCGATGGTCTGAATCGAGTGCATTTTGATAAAACCACGCTTCAGGCAGATGAAGCAACTAACCACAATCACAAGCGACATTGCTCTTTCGTCGATTGGGGCTTCAAGACGCCATCTCCGCATTGGAATTACGAGACCTGGATGACGATCTGCATTTTTCAGACAGAATACCCATTATTGCTACCATATTCTATTAAATTAGTGCGCACAGATTTCACTACTTCTCATCACATCCATTCTCAATGTGGTTGAGTCAGTCTAATGCCAATCGTTTATTTTCAATTAGACTGACTGATTAATATATTGCCCTGTGCTTTCTCACCTTCCACTGTGTGTAATTAATATCCAGTAATCAACTGAACACACGCTTTGCTGTTTGCGTGGTATATCAATGGCATGTTTCAGAGGCAGTGGTGTGGACGTAATTGAAATTGACGTGTAACTTACTCTACTGTTGTAGCTAGCAGT